AGGTGGGCAGGAATGAAGAACTGGCTTTTTTAAAGCCTTACCTGGAGATGCCTTTCAATAAAAGGTCCTTTCGCAACGGTGTTGGATCAGGAATTAAAAAAACTTCATTTCGAAGGGCAAAGTCATAAACAAATGTTCAAAACCACACTCTCGTTTTTAGCATCTGATGTTTAACTTTGCGCTTAAAATCATTTTAATGCTTTTCTATGATAAACCCAACAGAGGCAAATGTAGCCGTGTCTTCGTCATGTAAACAGATGTTTATTTCAAAGCGCCCAAGCCAAGCGGAGCAGATGGGATCGCTCAGAAAGGGCTTTGTTTCCAAAGTTACAGTATCATAAAGTTTTGTATTGAAATGAATGTTTTCATTTGCTTAATTCCCCTTCTTTGTACAGCTACAGATTTAATCAGCTTGCCGTTGATTAATACAAAAATAGTCCTGTGCTTTGAATAGCTGTGTGCGTGCAGCCTGTCGGCAGGACTGGCGGTATTATTCCTGACATCCCTCCTCTCTGCCGCAGAGGCAAACCCACCGGCAAGGCAAGGCATGCCTGCACTTTCCTGTCCCAAATCGCATTTACTTGAAGACAACTGCTCTGGCAATATTAATACAGATCTAAAGTACATTTAATTTCAGATTTCCAAAGATATGATGGGCCACTGCTGAAAAGCAGAATCAGGCTCTACTTGTAACTTCTAGTTTCTTTTTAACAGTTATTTAAAATGACTTTAGCAGGAAATAATCTCTTGAGATGCGTCGTCTCATTTCCAGAAGAGTCCTGGGACATCACTCTAAGGCCCCTGTATCAGTGCAGCTCCCTTTGCCTCAATTAATTCACTTACAGAGGCAACACACATCTGATGAAATGTGCCCAATTCGTTTTCTGCTCGTCTGCTACAGTTGTGGCGCAGTAATTAACAATGGGGTTTTTTTAAATTTCCTGTTAAAAAAAAAAAAAAAAAGTCATTTGGTCTGAAAATATGTAAATGTGGTATGTAGGAAAGGTCATCTGCTGAGTTACATATGTGTGAATTTTACCTTGCGGCTGTTTCCTCCAAATGCAGTGTAACAAGCTGTGACGTTGGCTTGAAAATGTTGCAAAGTGTCCATGCAATGCATTTTGAATTCAAAGCTAAGATAATAATAAATCAGTATACGGATGCTTTCTAATATTTCCGTACTAAATATCATAACCCAGGAGATCATCTTTAGACCTAGAATAAGGCCAGCTGGCATCATTCCCGCCACGATGCCCGTTCCTGTGCCTTGCGTCCCTGAGCCCACGGAGAAAAGCGACTCGAGCACGGAACTGTGCTAGTGAGGTACTGAGTTTCTGGACCGCAGCTGGCTAATTTCTGGCTGATTTGAGGAGATCAAACACACTCCTGTCTGCATTTATCCACGCTGAAATGTTTAAAGCACAGTATTTTTTAAAGCTGCTTAAACACTTACAGTCCTTTGAGGTACTGTTGGTGTCTATGTTGCTTAGCTCTTGCAGCTCTTAGCCAAGTGACACCTAGAGACCTCTAAAAATATATAAAGAAATGCTAGGTAATTATTGTTCTCACGCACTGTGACTCGTGTAATGTTTGGATGGGAGGAAGCCCAGACCGGCGAACGGGGTGGCACGCAGGAGTTTCACTGCAGCAGGGCATTTGCCCTGTTTCGTTCTTGGCTGCTGTGATTTCAACCATGGCAGATGTCCTCCAAATGCAATTTTCCAACTCAAACACTCTCTAGTTCTGTCCAGAACTGCCCAAGAAGCAGCATTTTAATGCCTTTGGCCACATAAAACTGAATGGCTAGGAAAAACCCCTGGCCTGTGACTGCTGAGCGTGCGGGTAAGTGCTGCCAAGAGGTATTGACCTGCTAAACACAGGTCCTGAGTGCGGGGCCCCAACAGTATTTAAGGAAAAAAGGTAACATGGATTTAATTATGCCCATGTGCAGGCATAATGCGTGCATTCTGCATCTGTGCACATCTGTATTCAGGGAGGTGGAGGTGTTTTGTCGCAGTGCAGCTACCTGGAGTGGCTCTGGCCCGCTCCTTACAGCTTATATCACCACCAAACTTATTTTTTTCAGGGAAGAAAAAAAAAACGAAACAAGTCCAGATTTATCTTTGTCTTGGGCTTTCACATCTATTTTATTTAACATTTTTCTACATAATCAAATACATTTCTGCCTTGGTAACCTATGATAAACAAGGTTGTCTGTAAGCCAACAGACCTATGTGCGCAGCTTTGAAAATCAGCCTCTCCCTTTCCATTTATTTTACAGGTATATGGCCAACTCATTTAGTGATTTGGCAATTGCCTTTGAGCAGGGTGTGTTCAGAAGGGATAGAGTGCCAGTATCCTGCTTGCACAGACCTTCATCCCCTTTTTTTGAAACTATGGGCTGCAAGAAATATAGCTTCTTGGCTACAGGAAAAAGCCCATTATTTATGATTTAGTCATTCCCTGACAAGCCACTCCACCTTGAGAGATATGCATATACAAAACGATGGTACGAGGAGGCCACCAAGAGCCGTAAGTCTCGCACTCACCTAAATCACACCGAGCAAACCTGGAAAATGCAGATTATCCGGCTGCCTTACAGAGGTAGTTCTGTCACCGGTGGCCCGATCTTGCCATCACCACCCACTGAAACCTCACGGCGCTTATGCTGCCTTTGACATGAAATGCTAAGTTCTTCTCTGAACTTTAAAGGTGGCTTTATTTTGGGAAGAACAGAGAGTAACCTTAGTGATCTCTGTCAGAAAATAAGGATCTAAGGGTGCCATTGCTGAGCACATTAATTTTTATGCTGACAAAAACTGGAAACGTGACATTAGGTGCCTTTTCTCAGTGCAAAGAGGACAACAGGAAGGCCTGTAGGAATGCTAGCCTACGGCATAATTGATGTGCTGCAATGAATTATGTTCCTTTCTGGAGAACAGGGATTCATTACTCCGTGAAAATATATTTTGTTGACTTTCTTTGCTATTTTTCTCGGCTAACCTAAGAGAAAGGCTAAACAAGTTTAGAGAGTGGGAAGAGCAACGCTTTGTCTAGGGGTTGAGGAGCAAGTTGGGAAGCCGGGAATGCCTCCACCGGTCTCGGCCTTCGATAGTAATTCAGTCTGTGACCTTAGATAAGTCACTTCATTTCTACTCAATTTCTCCATCTGAAAAATAAGAAGCTATCTTCATCAAGCCATCCTGCATAAGCAGTGTGGTGGCTGATGGATTTGGGAAGCGTTTCGGAGGTGTTGGGGCAGAGAAGGGTGCTCTCTGCAGCCAGCGCGGCGTCCTGGGGCTGGGAGAAATGCTCGTTCCCCAACAAGGCTGAGCCAGAGGCAGCCTTATCACCTGCACTTTCAAAATGCAGCTGCTACAGCTTATTCAATCTTGAGCTAGTCATACTATGTATTTTCTTCTTTTTTGATGATGCACCCTTTGGTAAAAGACATTAAAATGCATTTAAAGGACATGCAGAATCCTTGAATTCGTAGGGAATTTTTACCCTACTTTGCTCTAACCTGTATCTACCTTTAGAGGCTTTGGATATACGTATCCACTAATGGGCTGGGCTGTGAAAGTCACCTTTGAGCTCAGCAGTCACTGTTTTTAGCAGCCAGCCTGTCCCGAGCCCTGGGGTCGGGCCCACGCTGCCCTGCAGCTGCAGGAGCGTGTGCTGCATGCCCATCCTCACCCCTGGAAGAGCACCTTGCAAAGGGCCCGGCACGGTATTGCACGCTGCCTGCTGCTCCTCTGCTCCCTAAAAATGACCTGTACCTGTGAAGGAGGCAGCTAAGGTTCACCGCTAGGGGAAAATGAAAAGAACAAATCCAATAAAATATGAACGAGTGAAATCTGCCTGAAGACAGGAGGAGGGATTAACATTTTTTTTTCTTCTCCACAGATTATTGGCAAGAAAGGCAATTAAATAACCTGATGTAATAGCACCTAATTCACTTGTGAGACTGAAAATTAGTCGTTGTAATGACATACCAATACTTGGTTTTCTGATTACTAAGTGTATATTAAAGTATATGTATCTCTCACGTTTAGATTTCCTAATTTGCTATTATTTGCCTGTAGATGGTAATTTATTGCCTTAAAATACTGAGAGGAAGAAAGGAGAAGTCTTTGTTGCTTTTAGCTCTGGATATAATTTTGACCTTAAGAAAGAACAAGACAGATATGAGGGAGTATATTAGATGTTATTATTACTGTAATAAAATACAGATAAAAATCATAGTGCAGAAAGACTCTAAGACAACTATTAAGCATTTGTCATATAAAGAAAATCAAAATTTAACTTATCAGATATTCTGGCACTTTAAAGATTCATCATGAAAAATTACTTCTAACAGTGAAGCGTTTATGCAATATGTCATTGATGAGCTGTCTGCTTAAACATTTAAAGAGTTTGGAAAAAGATAAAAAAATGTCAAAGATACGCTTTTTATTAGTCTGACAGAATGTTTCACTATATTGAAATTTATTTTTAAGAGTGAAATGGTATGGCATTACATTTTTTTAAGAAAACAAGCCGAGCGATGGTTAGTGAGCATAACCAAACCGAGAAGGTAGCTTGTTGACTGAAGAAATGGTGCAGCTGTACCAGACTTCATTTCCATGTTCGGTTTCAGATCCAGGGGGAATTTTTCTGCCTTTGTGGTGATAGAAAGACTTTTTCTTCTAATACCCTACTGGATTTGAAGTCATTGGGTTGATTGTGCTTAAAATTAAGCATATCTTAAAAGCTTGATCAACTGAGACCTATCTTCTCAAAGTCTTCAGTGTGAACCTTTCAGAGGACATAAAAGGGCTCAATGCGATAAGAAATGAGCTATCAAGTGCTGCTCTCCAGACACCATCCACAACTCATTGAAGTCAACAGAAAGCTACTGAGCATCTTCAATGGGCTTTTGATCAGATGTTCAGCATATTAACGGTAAGAGTATTTTGTGTTCGCTTCTTATGGTCGGTCAAATGAATCCAGTGAATCTCTATGGCAACCCTTGAGCACCTCACAGCAGCTATGTGCACTAACAGATTTTTCTTCCCAGAAAGCATCCTCATTGATTTCTGTGGTTTGTGCCTACTGCCTCTTTTAGCCCACCGTATCTCAATTTGGG